TTGTTTTCTTTTATAAAAATGAATGGAATAGATTATGTAGTATTTATTATCTACAGTTAAATCATGTCTTGTTAAAAAGTGACTACATTGAAGAGTAAAATTAACAATTGTTACATACATTTTTTGTACATCCAATTTTCAATAACGTACCCCATGAGTGTAGTGTTTTTAGCATAATTTTTATCACGTAGTGAAAATAATGATAAATGTTTCGTTTATTTTTTTAAATTTGGGATGGCGGCGGACTTGTTATACGTGTACAACATAATAGTGTATAAATCATTGTTCTTCTTCTTCGGGTTCCATGTCAGGGACTGACGTCGGCTACCATCTCTCTGAAACCAATCATTGTTACACTTTCTTTAAGTTATAACTTATAAATGATTTACTTCCCCTTAAATGCACCCATTTAAGCTACAGAGTGTTACATAACATAAAGATGAACTTCAATTGTGCAAAACTGAAGCATTGGATTAAAACAGCGAACTAACTTTTTTTACTCTGGAAATACCTAGAAATAAAAATTGTAGACATCAAGGATTAAGAAACAGTTTCCCATTGTTTGTTAAGGGGTTGCACGTGCACTCCTTGTTCCCACTAGACTATTCCGGGCGTCTACATCATGCTACAATCCGCACATAATCCTGAACAAAAGGTGGGCCATTGTCATTCCTGTATGGCCTTTATACTTGCGTGGGTCATCACTCCGTACGGGACATAGAAAATGTCCTCCGTCACAATTTGTCCACTTCATATATATATATCTGGGAGAAGATGGGTTAATGTGGAGTAAAAATAATTTTCAACTTGATGAGAGGGTCCCATTGTGACAAAGCACGTTTTCTATGGGAATGGAAAGGTAAACGATACTAGGTCTCGTAAAATGATAACGAAAGTTAATTCAAAGTATTTACTTTGATTCTATAGATTATCAAAAGAACGTTTTATCTGTCAAAAATATCATACAAGTAGATATATTGTTGATCTTCTAATTATTAGACAATGATGTAAATATCGATAGCTATTCATCTTAATGATGTGTTGTTCAACACATCATCATATACATCAAACGCAACTACTGTACAAAACTGTAAAAATATTGTGTTTAATTTTGGACATACATATTAGCCTACATTGGCACTACATTAGGATTTGGTTAAAAAACATGAAACAATAAAAAATAAAAGTAATCTTGCTTCAACGTAATCTTATAATCACCAGTATTTTTTGTATTCTACACGGTATACTCAACACCAGGAGGAAGTGTGTTCATCTGTTAAACTCATTGCTTTCAGCGAGAGTCCCATGGAGCCGGATTGATCTACGCAGACTGACAGCTTCACTGAGAACGAGCCCTAATCCTTTAGCATAATCAAGAAAACTGTTGAATAGGGGATACCGGAGGAGACAGGATTGTGCCGGAAGTCTGACGTCGTGTGACGTCAGTTGGTGTAAGACGCAAAGCTGAGTGAATGTCAGAAGGTCACCTGTCAGAATGTCACCTTTGTCATGGCATTTGTCAGTGATTAGTGCCTACCCCGGTGTAATAGGTGTATAAGCGTGGTCATATATGTGGAATTTCATGTCAGCTGGGCATATAATCATCTAAAAACTCGTCGCAATCTTTTAAAAAAGATAAATCATTGTTCAGTGCAATTCAGATGTCAGTTACAAACAACTTCTTGGCTTTCAAAAGGTCCTTCCAAGACTCTTAAACATCGTTATAATTGCAGAACATACCATAAAACGCCCAAATTGATTAGATAGAGCATACCGAAGGAGACAGGATTGTGCCGGAAGTGTCAATTGGTGTAATATATATATATATATATATATATATATATATATATATATATATATATATATATATATATATATATATATATATATATATATACACTGATGCTCATAAGTTAAGCAACACTTTCTTATTTCTCGAATTTCTCAGCAACCAAAATTTTTATTGAGGCAAAATTTTAGTTAGATATTTCTCTTGTTATTACTTTGACTTACTGGACCGTAACATTAGAGTACTATTTACTGTTGGACACGATAGAATATGCTAAGGGGGTGCCACTTGCGAAAAACACAGTTTAGCCATGCCATGAGGAGCTTCCAGTTTGGCTAGTTTTATGGGCACAATTTGTTATTTTGGACCAACCAATGGTTAGTAGAGGACCCAGCGAGGTAATCAGATGGCAAATAATGGGAAGCTATAATGCTGGGGTGCCAAAGAGACAGATTGCAAGGCAACAAAAAAGCAGCACCAAGCCAAGTGTCCAAGCTGGTAGCAAAATGGCGCCAAACCCAT